TTTTTTTATTAGTCTTTTTTGGGCTGCAAGGTTGGCATCAGATTGTGTTTTGGCTTCATCCGAGGGCTTAAGGGCCTAAGCTGGCGTTCACGTCTTTTGCGAAGCGGCAACCCCCCTCATCTAAGGTACTCGGAACTAAACCCTAAACGGGTTTGGGGTGAAGAGTTTTGGTTTTGTTTCGGCTCGTTCGGAGCAGATAGCGTCATCATCCACTGTCATATTTTTCCGAGGCTATGTAGGTTACCCGTTTACTTGCAAAACCCCGAAGAAAAGGCCCCCATGCAAGCTTAGACTGAACATGCCCTAAATACTGACCGAAAAAACACTTAGCACACCTAAAACCCTTAAGATGCCAATACCCTTCAAATACGACAAGGGAACTCTGACATGGGGTCCTTCTTGCCACGGTGTTGGGGAGTTTCCTGAGATGGCACGCCTGAAGCCGGAACACCTCAGCCTGAAATCAACATGCGAGAAGCATCTTTGTCTTGCAGGCAAGACATCTCATATGTTCCGTCGCAGCAAGGCCTCCAGACGGCTGAACGCATTGCCGTTCTCGAACGAGCCGTCCTTCAGAATTTCCTCATCTCCCAAAACGTTGGCAGCTTGCATGAGGAGCCGTTGGCATTCCACCTGGCTCCCGATGCCAAACTGCACAACGGCTCTGCCAATCGTGCGATGACCCATGCGCTGGTGGAGGGAGATAAGTTCGAAACTCTGTGCGGCTTCTGCTTCCCTTCCAGGACCTTACCGCTCGACCATACTCCTCTGAACAAAGCACCTTTGCATTTCATTCTTGCGGACTCATAAACAAAAAAACTAGCTGTCCCTGGTTCACAAGGCAAACAACCTCAACAAAAGAATCCTGAAGTTCCGAGGGCACATGTTTGAGCGGTGCATCAGGGCATAGGCCAAGAGATACGAGGATTTCGCGGCGGCATGCCATCGCCTCTTGAACCCCCGCAGCATTCCAAGCAACTGTGGCAAACGTAGGAAGCTGCATTTGACCCCGCCGATTTGGCCCAGGCCAGAAAGCATCAACATGATTGGGGTATTGTTGTTTCCACTGCAGCCTGGCACCGACCTCGGACCAAATCCCATACCAGAGGGAACGGCCTTGCACATTCACCTTTCTCAGCTCACATAGCTTAAAAAGGAAGCGCTGAAGCTGCGCGGCGGGCGTGTCGTAGAGATGCTGGTGTTGCTGCCACCATGATGCATCCGCATCTGCCATGCCACGGTTCCTGGCGAGTCTGCTTGTTGCTAGGATCTCCCGGCCGAAGTCGGAACCCCAAAGGATGCAGCCATAAACCTCGTTCGCGCGCGTGGTGCGGTAGAAAGAGCTCAAAGACTGCTTCTTCCAACAATCATTGATCGACTCCGGGACTACGTGCGCTCCGCGGAAGAGAAGGCCGTTTATGACCCGGCCTCCGCCGTAGCTGGTGCTCCAGTGCTGGGATAAATGCTGAGTTGCTCGGGCTTTAACTTCAGGAGCACAGTCTGAAGAGGCCAGCATCAGATTGACAAAAGGCCTGGCAAAACGGGAATATTGCCCCATCAACTCCTCGAAGGTGTTGATCGTCTGCTTGCTTCTCTTGATTCGTTTTGTCCTGCCTGTGGGCACATGATAATGGCGGTAAAGTGCATGAAGCTTGCGCTTCGGGGAAGCCCTTCCAACTGCGTTTCTTGCCTTCTGTGCGGTCCTGCCCAACAAAGGCTCCCATCTGCAGGTTTTTTGGAAAATCACACCAGAGTGAACGGAACTGAAATGTTGCCCAAGATCTCTGGCAGCAAAGGCCCGTGCACTGCTAAGCATGTGTATCGCTATCGGGCGATTGCAGACCTGGACACACGCTTGCAGGGCGCGACGCAGCAATCGCCCGCATACACCACATAAATGAGGCACTGATCTGTTGCCAAACTTCTGCAGAAGCATTTGCAAGGCATGCTCGCGTATCCCAAAGCTAGTCAGTGCAGTCACGGCTGCAACAGCACACATTCGTTGGCAAAGGAAGCACCTGCATAAGGCCATTCCAAGGTCGCTTCCGGAGCGTGATAGTGCTGGGTTTAGGGTTTAGGGATTAGGGTTTAGGGTTCATGTAGCGATGCCAAGGCAATGCTTTTCTTTTGTGCTTCACCAATGTTACGTCTATCTTCTTGCCGTTTAGTATCCATGTCGCTTGTGCAGAACCTGGGCCCCAACAACAACAAAGCCGGTTGCGGTTGCCAATTCTTGTGAGACTGCTGTGCTGCTTGCTTCAAGATGCAGGGAGTGAGTCTATCACCAATGCTACCAGAAAAGGGTGCACTGCGCAAAGTTGCCACAGTTGTCACACCGAGCAATAACAAAGAATATCGTCGTAGGATTTTGGGGGCGCAGGCGGCTCGGAGTTTGGAGTTAGGAACTACCCTAAGCTGCAAACATCGACGCACTTCGTGGCTGTAAGCTTCTGGCGGCATTTGCCTCCGCCTCCACCCGAACTGCCTGCTGCGGGGCTTGTTCGAAACTCTGTCCCTTTGGGGGGTCTGCAGTAATTAAGGCATGTACTCCCAAAAACTTAGGATACCGACAGCAGGGAGAGCTCATAACGTAGGGCAACACTCGATTGAAGAGTCTGGATGTCTGTCGAACAGGGCCCCTTCGTGAGAGGGACAGGGTACCCCATCAACAGAATGCAGAAACCTGACAGAGCATTTGTTTGGTACCACTAGAACGCCAAACAACATGAACAACTGCAGCTAAGCTCCAAACTCTAGACCCTAAAGCCCTGAAACCCTCCCAGAATCAAAGAACGGGCTAGCGATCCTGGATGCTAAAATTCCTACCAGGACCCGGATGCAGCTAGCCCGGCAAAAATCGGAAGAAAACGTTCGACGTGGACAATGATACGCAGCATTGGATTCAACAAATGTTGCATGCTTTGGGATGCTCCCCTTTATACTAACATTCCTTAACAGGGAATTATAGTACACTCTATTATTGTAATCCCTGTTAAGGACTGTTAGTACAAAGGGGATTATCCCAATGCATACTCATCAGATCCCTCCGGATGCCGAAAAGGGAAGATCAAGAACGACTTGCTTCGAAGGAAGGTACCATTGTGGAGTCAAAGCCCTAAAGCCTTGAACCTAACAAACTAAAGCCCTGAATCCCTAAACCCACAAACCCACAAACCCCAAAACTTGTCCTTGTCATCTCGCAGCTCTAGGGCTGCATGGGCCAAAGCCACTGACAGCCTGATGACGCTTTGCTTGGTTAAGGTTCAGGCTTTGGGGGTGAGGTGTCAAATCGCTTTGGCTCTTCAGGTCTTCAAGTCCGATGAGGGACGGCATGAGTATGGGAACACGCCCAAAAACAGCTGAGCACCTCCCCTGTCCGCCTTTGTTTGTTGGCTCGGGCTTCACGTTTGAGTTCTTGGTTGAATCACTTCATCCGAAAATCGAGAAACCGAGTTCAGGGTCTAGGGCAAGCAAGTCCCCCGAAAATGTCAAAGTTGGGCCGAAGAAGGCCCCTCCGATGACGCATCATCGCCCCAAAGGCGTAACTAACCTGCACCCCTGAGAGTCGCGTCATCCCCAAATCACCATCAGCGTTACCAACCTGTTGAACATGGCTACAGCAGCATGTGAAAGTGCATGTTTGAAGACAAGACCGGTGCATCCCGCATTACAGCCCTATGACTCTGACAGTCCAGCATCAATGAAAAAAGCGTCACGACAGCGTCACATTTGAGCACGCCTCGTTGTACTCATCCCTTGAGGGTCGCAGCCGAACATCATCTAGGCCACAGCAAGGGCATGTGAGAGTTTAGGGTTTACGTTTAGGGTTTAGGGTTTAGGGTTTAGGGTGTAGGGTTTAGGGTTTAGGGTTTGCTGTGATAGGGCGTAGATGCTGTGAAGGTTAGGTTTCGGAACAAGCTCGAAAGCTTCGTGAGGTGCGAAGAGCAGCTTTGACCCGATTGTGGAGGGCCATCTAACACCTTTTTCCCACCCATACCGTCCAAGGCGGCAAAGCCACCCAAACCTTTTCCTTTTAGGGTTTAGGCCTAAACTCAGACAACAGTCCACGGGTTCCTATTCCTTAATTTTGGGGTTTATTACAACTTAAGAAATAGTCCTTAGTTAAGGGGTTTTGGAGCCTTCTGAGAAACCCTGTCCAGACTACATGGCTTGGTTTGAGAGAGTAGTATACTTGGAGCTTCATGGTACTTCGTAACCCAATTCTTACTTCGTAACCCAATTCTACATGTACTTATAACCCAATTAGAACCCTTATTCGGGTACGTAAGGGGGTTATAAGTGGGTTCTAGCTACACTAAAAATCGGCCTACTAAGTACCCTGAACCTCCAAGTAGCTAGCCTTCAGACTGCTTGCGGGCCTTCTATCTCGCGCACTTTGCTTCGTGTCAGTCGAAGAAGTTTAGGCTTAGGGATTCGGGACTACTCCGGATAGGTGGAAGGGCTTCAGGGCTTAGAGCCGCCGTACATCCTCGACCCTCAAATGAACCAGATTCAGGTCAGATTCAAGTCAGAACGCCCTTCATGCTGGCTCGATTAGACTTGCTAGCCCAGGCCCTTCTTCCTCCTGCTTCGTGCCGCGCCGATTTCGCATCCCTGACGACATTCGAGAAGACCGCCCGATTTACCGATCACTTCTAGAAACCCTTGGGACGACAGAGGCCTTTACGGTTTACAGTTGGGGGGGGGGGGGGGGCGAACTCAAAAAGATGCTGAAAATAGGGTGCCTATAGCCCAAAGTCCCAAACTGACTATCGGGTGGGGCTTGACTGCTTGCTAGGGGGGGGGGCGGGGTTCTCGGACCTTCGCCGTCTAAGGCCTGTGATCCTTGGTTTTGGTGCTCAAGGCTTTAAGGCTTCCCCACCCCGAACATCCTGTTCTAGGTGATTGCGCGCCCTTCATGTCATCCGACCGGATCCCAGGGCTTTTTCCCCGTCTGGACCGAGTTCACTGACGCCTTGTCCCGCACCGGCGATCTGTGATCAATCCTCCCAAAAGGCAGTGCGACAGCCAAGCCTTCGGAAACCATTGTAAATACATGTGGAGACGTCCTTCTGTACAGTTCCCGGCTCCATGCCAAGTGCTCTCAGCTGGTCCCTTTGGGCTCGGCTGATAGTGAAGTACTGGCGAATTGTCGACATGGTTGGTGGGAGGCGCCGCCTCGCTTCGTTGACCTCCTTGTCTGCTTTAAAGGCTCGGCAAGCATCATTCTCGGCCTCTCGCTTGCACGTGCCCCCATAACCTGCTGCCCAACCTGTGAAGCTTCGGCCGCGGAATCCTGTTGTCACCAAAGTGGCAGACCAGCCGCGGCCAGATCGCTCAAGCTCGAAATGGTACAGGCACTCCTTGGAGTCGAAGTTGTACCGAATGAGGAAAACTCTAACAGCTTCCTTGGGGCCCATATTTGCCCATTCTGCATCTTTGATACCTATCTTGCCATCTAGCCTTTCCGCAAGTCTCTCAAAAACCCCAGTCTTGAGCCACTCAACAATGTCGGCTCCGTTTGTCTCAATCTTAGTGAGATGCTGCACTTGCCCTTGCACAGCATCCTCGCCATCCCCACCTTGAGCAAACTGAGCATCCTCGCCATCCCGGCCTTGAGAAAACTGAGCATCCTCGCCATCCCAGCCTTGAGGAAATTGAGCATCCTCGCCATCCCAGCCTTGAGGAAATTGAGCATCCTCGCCATCCCAGCCTTGAGGAAATTGAGCATCCTCGCCATCCCAGCCTTGAGAAAACTGAGCATCCTCGCCATCCCAGCCTTGAGAAAACTGAGAAAGCGTCCCTTGGGTGGAGGGCGCGGCTGTACTCTGGGACGATGACGGCTCTTCGACCCTCAGTCGCTTCGCGCCATGGCCTGTAGGCGCCGGGCGCTTCATCTTGAAATGGACCCTCAAACCCAAGCCCTACAATATGGAACCCAGGTCTTCTCGTGGAGTGTCCGAGAGCATGACTCCAGCCAGCATGTGCTGTATTCTTCTTAGCGCGCAGCTTCTATGGTGATTGCTATTGTGGCCAACATTGAGCTAGGTCGTGCTGAGATGAGGAGCGCAGCGATTGGGTTCATCATCGAGCTGGAATGTTCACATACTCGTATGCACCCACTACACATGGTTCATCCGCAATTGGTCTGATGTGAGCTCCGGACATGGATCACGGCCACCAGCGCCACCAAACAGAGGCCTTCAGAGATGCGTTTGCCCGGTTCGCTAGTCGGGCTTCAAGTTGCTCAAGCACAAGCCTTTGGACTTGAGATGAGGACCTATGAGGATAGAGCTTCCAGTCAACATTGTGAACCCATGCTGGGGGGACTGGGAGGGGGTTGGGGCACAGGGAATAGAACATGCGGGAAGAAGTGATGCCATCATTTGCTGCTTCTGTTCCGAATGCCTATGTCTACACTCAAAACTCCGAACGCTGAATTGCCAGAGCAAAGCGTAAATACCACGTGCCAGCGAGCGAGCTCACATGTGACAGAGGTGACTGACGCCACAGCAGATAGGACCTGCCGCCGCGCTAATTTACCTGCTCTCTGTGTTTTTGCAGCCGCCCACTGCTGTCAGTGCACGCACCTTGCACTGCAGCCTCTTCAAAAGGGCGCTGCGTCACAGGATCATGGAGCAGGCGAACAACTGGTTTAGGGTTTAGGGTTGAGGGTTTAGGGTTTTAAAGTTTTAAGGTAGATGGGCACGACCTCTCTCCAGGGTTGGGTGATATGAGGGTGCGTGCATGCTGCTGGGGGGCAAATCGCAAACCTGCTTACCGATGTGTGTATATATTATATATTATATATATACATATGTGTGCACACCATACTTCGGTTTAGGAATGACCAATGGAGCGCCCTAGAATCGCAGCCACCGTACGTCTGAACCAGCAAGCCAGAACACACAGCACACGCTCTGGACCTTCAAACTCACAGAGACAATAAACCCTAATTTGAATCCCCTAAACCCTAAACCCTAAACCCTAAACCGTAAACCCTAGAGACCCTGAGCCGCATCAGGTGACAAGGGGCGAGTAGGTCGCCAGCATCGGGGCTTCGTCCGTGTGGGTGTACATGATTTTGACCTCGCTTTCCCCAAGGGTTTAGGGTTTAAGGTTTAGGGGTTTAGGGTTTAGGGATTTAGGGGTTTAGGGGCTTAGGGGCTAAGGGTTTAGGGCTTTCTTGGAGGTGCATGGTACTTATTAACCAATGATAACCCCCTTAAGTTCCCCAACATGGATAGAAGTACAGCTATCAGTACAGGTAGAGTTGGCTAAGAAGTACCATGAGCCTCCAAGTAGGGTCCCCAGTAGCCTGGGAGAAAACACGTAATTCTGTCTTGTTAGATATTTGGGTCCCTTTCTGGGTCCTTGCTTGAAGGGTGCTGTACTTTATACATATATATATGTATATGTATACACTGCATATATAGGACCCCAAAAAAGGACTCTAATTTACAGACCTACCCATCTGAAGTTTAAGGTTTAGTGTTCGCCTTTATCCTAAACACAAAACGGGGGCAAGAGAGGACCCAACTTTGGGTGCAGGCCGTAACAGTTTATGGCCCCGTTTGTTGCAGACCGGGGCCCCATCGTAGCTGCCATCATGATCTGAGAAGGCCTCTAAACCCTGAACCCTAAATCCTAAACCCTTCAGCGCAGATCTAAGAAGCGAAGTTGTTGAGGAATTCGGGTGCCCGGCTCGAGGGAGCGAAACTTTTCGGGCTTCGGGACTCGGGTTTAGACCCCTGAGGCTGCATCACCCCAAGCCCCAAACCCTAAACCCTATACGGGGGGCAACCAAACGGGGATAACAGAAGACTAAACCACTCTCACCCCCCAAGGCAGCCCTAGACTTTTGCCCTGTAAATTTCACAAACCAAAAGCGGAGGATACAAAGAGAAAGGGAGGCTCTAGGGAAAGGCTTGCCTAGTGGCCCCAGCTCCATCAGGCCTGGGTTGGCAGTTTTGCCACTCAGGACTTTAGAGTTTAGGGTTTAGGGTCTAGGGTTTAGAAATGCAATGACCATCAACTTGTGGCAGTGCACAGGCCTCTCCAATGATTGTTTCTGCAATGCGAGAGAGGCGCTGCCACCTGCAAACAGTGAACTCTCCTAATTGGCACCCAACTTTGCTGTGGACTTCCTGAGGTTTGCCTCTGCTAAGGACGCTTGCTGCTGCTTGAGGAGCCGCCCAGACTCGAAATTGTCATGCACTGCACGTGTTGGCACAATCTTGTTAGAATTTGGTTCTAAAATGATAAATTGTCTCTCATGTGCGAATGCTGCATCAATGCAATCATACAATATGCGCATGAAGTGCTCTACCGCTTGGCGCGCATTTTGGGCTGGGCTGAATTGGTGCATGCATCGTAGGACGATCTGCCCGTGGGCCCAAAAGCGGTAGGCAAAGTCAACCTCAACCCTAAACCCTAAACCCTTCTTGAACCCAGACTCTTTACGTCAGCTGGCACGACGACAGTTGCATGGACTTACATCCAAAAAAGCTAAGCGCGAAACCCTAAACCCTAAACCCGAAACCCTTAACCCTAAATCCTAAATCCGAACCAAGCTGCTGCGAGCGCACCTGAAAGAAACTGCAGCCGGCCGATGTGATTGGAGCCTGAGCCAAGAGGAACTTAGCCGGATGCCCTGGATGCTATGTCGCTCATATTCGCTCTTGCAAACCCAAGAGGCCGCCCTTCCTTCACTTCCCAAAACCCAAAGCCCCTGCACCGCCAAAACAACGCCTCCCCGCCCCAAGAACTACTTTACTAAATGTGTGGCCCAGTTTGCCCGCCCCAAGAACTACTTTACTAAATGTGTCGCCCGGTTTGCCCGCCCCAAGGACTACTTTACCAAGTGTGTCGCCCGGCTTGCCCGCCCCAAGAACTACTTCACCAAATGTGTCGTCCGGCTTGCCCGCCCCAAGAACTACTTTACCAAATGTGTCGAGGGGTTTGCCCGCCCCAAGAGCTACTTTAACAAGTGTGTCGCCCAAGAAGTACCTTACCAAATGTGTCGTCCGGTTTGCCCGCCCCAAGAACTACTTTACCAAATATGTTGCGCGGTTTGCCCGCCCCGAAGAACTACTTTATCAATGTGTGGCCCGGTTTGCCCGCCCCAAGAAGTACTTTACAAATGTGTCGCCCGGTTTGCCCGCCCCAAGAACTACTTTACCAAACGTGTCGCCGGTTTGCCCGTCCCAAAAACTACTTTACCAAATGTGTCGCCGGTTTGCCCGTCCCAAAAACTACTTTATCAACGTGTGGCCCGGTTTGCCCACCCCAAGAACTACTTTACGCCCGGTTTGCCTGCCTCAAGAACTACTTAACCAAATGTGTCGCCCGGTTTGCCCGCCCCAAGAAGAAGGTTACGGCGCGGTTAACGACCCTGCCAAAAAAACACATTGTGTTGAGGGGGTTGAAGTGTAAATCCTTGGTTTTTTCGATGTTTCCGTGCGTGGTTGTTCAGTAGCGCATGTCCGAAAACCCCATTATTAACGAGGGTTTTGATAATTTCGGCCGAATTCACTGTAAATAGCAGTGTTTTCGTGCATCCACAATTTTTCGACTTTCAGAAGTCGCTTTATTGGAGAAGTCCTTTTTTCGGAATTACAGCGAATTTGCATGTTAAGACAGGTTTTGTGAGACGTTTCTTTTTGAAAGCCTTTAGGTTTCTGGACGAGTAGACAAGCAAGGGTTCAAGGCTGTCCGCTTGTATGGAAATGTAGGTATTTACAGCGAACTTGCAAGTTCAGTTTAATTCAGTGCTATAGCTTCGGGCTTGCAGTGTGTGGTGTATGGTTTTGGGTTCATGGGCATAACGGTTTAAGCCTTAACCGTGAACCTGAAACCCTCAACTCTAAATTCGACAGAGTCAAATTATTTGGGCTTGCAGGACATTGTTGAGGTTTGCATACAGGAGAGCTTGGGGCGTGCACTGTCCTGTGTATTTAAGGGTATATAGGCAAGACGGTTTCAGGAAAAACCCTAAATCTTAAACCAAACAAACCGAAACAGGGTTTCGGGCTTAGGGTTTAGGGTTGAGGGCAGAGCGGTTGATCCCGGGGCCTGGTTGCAGAGCAGAGAGAGTCCCGTCCGAAACCCTACCCAGACCCCTGAAGGATGAAACAAGTAGATTCAGGGCTCCGAAGAATGACCCAAAACTAGTATAGGGTACTATGTGGGGGTTGTACTTTTTGGATCCTCCTACAGGGTATGGGTAATCCGTGAAGCAGAGACCTTTTGACCTTTCCTTGCACGCAGGCCAAGTGTCGTAACCATGCCCCCCCCCCTCCCAAGTAGCATCCCTAAACCCGAAACCCCAAAAACACGCATATTCGGCGGGGTCGCTAACCGCGCCGTAAGCAAGAACTACTTTACCAAATATGTCGCCCGGCTTGCCCGTCCCAAGAACTACTTGCCAAATGTGTCGCCCGGTTTGCCCGCCCCGAGAACTACTTTACCAAACGTGTCGCCGGTTTGCCCGTCGCCATCCAAGCCTAGGCACCCTAAACACAAAACAAACTCGGGGAAATCTGCAGCTAGATCACCCGCTTCGCCAAGTCATCTGCCTATGCAGGCTGAAAAAGCCCTGGTTTAGGCTGTAGGGCCCCCAAAACAACCGCACCGAAGGCGTTTCACTTTGGGATCGGCTTGAAACCTGCGCTTCTGACGTCATCCGACCTAACCCCGAATTCTAAAACCCAACACCCTTCGGGCCCTTCAGGTGTTAGCATGACCGGGAGAAGGCATCAAGGGTCTGCTTTGATCTGACATTATGCCTCGACGGTTTCGGGCTTAGCGAGTGCGACAAGCACGCTACAGCCATTGCCGTAGTTCACAATAAACTTCTTTCTGTACTTGAGCTGAAGTTGCTGATTTCAGCCGACCT